AGCAAGTTAATTGGGAGAATTTATTGGACCTGCCAGTTTTATGCATGTCTGATTAAGTATTATAAGGTTTGTTTTTGATTTTGCATAATTTAACTTTAGATCCTGCACTGGGGGGCCCATCAACCATTAACAACCCAAATAAACCTCTTTTAAGATGCATCTACTTATGATTTATTTCTGAATGCGGTATCTTCCAGATTTTTTTTGCTGTTGTTGCCAAAGAGACAAATATGTTAAAAGTAACATTTTGTGCCATTCTGCTCACCCTATAAATCTCTCCAAACGTGTACAATTCATTAAAAGTTTTGAAAGGAGTACAAGTTAGCATTTATATTGCAACAAGTGACATATAAATGCGTATGTTTGTCTTCCCCCCCCCCCCCCCCCGTGCCATAAAACATGCCCGCAGCCCGGGATCCTCCGCCGGCCGCCCCGCCCTGCTCTGGGGCCATGATGAGCTGCGCCGCAAATCTTCTCCCCTGTCAGCCCAGAAGCATTCAATCAACGGGAGTAGAACAGTGTCGCAGGGAAATTAGCGCGGGAGGAAATACAGCCAGGCCCTGGGGGTGTGCGGGGCTGCACAAGGCTGGACCCCGCGTGGCTGCAAAGGGCTGGACCCCGCGAGGGCGCTCACCTTGAAGGCGATTCTGGGGTGGCCGGGACCTGGGTTTCCAGAGGGCACATCCACGAAGTGGCATAAAGCCTGCAGACCGGGAGGAGGGCAGAGCCACGCAGAAGCTGGCCACGCGGCCTCCTCCTCACCGCAGAGAGGAGGCGGAGTGTCCGTGCGCCCGCGGATTCCGTGGCTGGTGTACAGTGAGCATTTCCCTACATCCCGATGGCAGCGCTGCTGAGCGCTACTCTGCCCCGCCTTGGCGAAGGCCACACCTCGCTAAACCCTCCAACAGCCCCTGGGGCTGCAGGGCCTCCTTGGCTGATGAAGGAGAACCGCCAGGACAGTCCAGTGACTCATCCAACCACAGACCCACCTCCTGTGACCCAGGCGGGTGTGTCATCTACAAGACATCATCCAGCAGCCCCCCGACAGCCCCCCGCATCACTCACGATGGCCCCCGATGCGGCCCGAGTGCTTCCCCAGCACCCACCGCGGTCCACTTCCCGCAGGCTGTGGGCGTGGGCGCCGGACTGAAGCCTGGCGGGCCAAGGGCTCACGGCTGCCCCGGTGATGCCAGGCCTCCAGGCAGTCCCGCCCATCCTGGGCCCTGTGCAAGCCAGGCCACAGACGAGGCCGGGCACAGCCCCTCCCTCCCCTTAGCAGCTTCAGCTGGAGGGCCAGGGGGTGGGGTAGGGTGGGGGGCCGGCGGGCAGAAGCAGCCAGGCCCAGGCACAGCCCCGCCGAGACCAGGCACCTAGCTCAAGCCTGCCCTGGACTGGGAGAGACGGCAGATCGCGGCCAGCTGGGGGACAGTGAGGAGGGGAGGAGAGGTGGGATGAAAGGCCACATTCCCTCTCCTGAAGCAGCCTGCTGAGAAGACAGAGGACCTGTCTGTCTGTCCCTCCTGCTCTGGCCACGCCCCTGCCAGGGAGCCAACGTCAGAAGATGAACGCTTTCGTGGACATTCAGGTCGGCACAGCACAGAGACCCGGCCTAGGCCTGACCCTCCTCGCAGCCCACAGGGGCCTGAGTAAGGGGCTGAGCCCCCAGAGCCCCCACAACACGGGTATAGGGGCACCACCCCCATGTGGGCTGTGACCAACGTTCTCAGGAGACAAACGACAGAAGGTGCTCAGCGTGGCCGGTGCTGTCCTCAAAGCCGTGCCGGTCACCTGCGGCTGCCCGACAAGTGGTCCCGGAATAGGACGGCTAATGAAGCAGCAGACACACGTGTTCGTTCACCAGGGCGGCCGTCCAGAGCGCCACAGACCCCGGCTCAAACCACAGAAGCGTATCTCACCTCCCAGAGGCCAGACGCCTGAGAGCCGGGTGTGGGCAGAGCTGCTTCCTCCCAAGGCCCCCAGGAATGCCATCTACCACCTCTACGGTGACCAACCTCGGGGTGCGTCCAATGGGCCCTTGTGTCCTACCGGCAGGTGGTTCCCTGGACTCCAGGCCTGGGGCCGCCCCGAGAAGAGCATCCTGTCTGGGGTCACGGAGGTCGAGGAGCCATCACAGCGGGGATGGGAGATGCTGTGCCACCCAAACCCAGAGGGGACAGGGTCAATGGACAGACAAGCAGAGGTCAGATGGAGCGCCAGACCCCACAGGGAGGCCTGCCGGCCGCTGGGAGGAGGCGTCTCAGTGTGCGTGCCACCCAGTGGCCACTGGGGGTGCTGGGCTCATCAGGGGTCAGAGCCAGGCCCGCCGACCAACAGTGTCTCCTCACCCACGAAGTGGGGCAAGGCCGTGTACCATCAGGTGGTAAGGACTGGAAACCACGTGTTCCGCTCACAGGGTCTGGTAACAGACCGCCCCCGACCTAGTACTGAGAACACCAGTCTTTCCCCTCAGCCCCGGTCTGCAGGCCGGGACCCAGACACGGCCCACACAAGCTTCTCTGCCCTGTGCTGTCTGGGGTCTCCGCCCCAGCCCTGTGGCCTTCTCGCCCAGCTGCACTCCTGCTCCCACGGGGCAAAGCCATGGCCACGGTGCTCAGCACGGAGCCCCTCCTCACGGCCTCTCCAAATGCCCCCCCGTGTGCCCGTGTGTGCCCCACAGAGACCCCGAATATCCTCCATCTAACACCCCACATGCCACCCGCGTGGCCCCCCCGCCCCTGCCACTTGGCCCATGTAACTCCACATATGACCCGTCCCCCCCATGAATCCCTCCTCACGGCCTCCCTCACATGCCCACACTGTGGCCTGCACATGGCCACCACGTGCCAGCCACGTGACCACCTTACAGACCCCCCCACGTGCTACCCACGTGCTTGCTCCACAGAACCACCACAGACCCCTCTATGTTGCCACTCTTATCCACACTGCTGCCACACCCCTGCCATGTGGCCCAAGGTGACCCCCACTGGACCCACACGCCCCCCCCCCACAAACCCCTCCTCACCGCCTCCCTTCCATGCTTCCGGCGTGGCCCACGCAACCACTACGGGATCACATGAGCCTCCTTCGCTCACACGTCTGCTGCCTTTCCCGGACACTCGAAAGCTGCGCTCAGAAGAGTCCAGCCCCGGGGCGCCTGGGTGGCTCAGTGGGTTAAAGCTTCTGCCTTCAGCTCGGGTCATGATCTCAGGGTCCTGGGATCGAGCCCCGCATCGGGCTCTCTGCTCAGCGGGGAGCCTGCTTCCTCCTCTCTCTGCCTACCTGTGATCTCTGTCTGTCAAGTAAATTTAAAAAAAATAAAGTAAAATAAAAGAAACATTAAAAAGAAAAAAAGAGCCCAGCCCGGAGCCCCCTGAATGGCGTCCCCCACACGCACCTCACACGCCTGTCATGTGTGCCCCTCCCCCCCGCAGTGGCCCAGCGTCCACCAGCACAGCAGCTGGTTCCGGGAGGGAGCATTAGGACATGGGAGGGGGGGTGTGCAGTTTCTTCTGACCCAACCCTGGAGATGCCACAGGGTCACCTGGGCCTCAGGATCTGGTCACTGAGGCAGCCCGGAGCCGGGAGCAGGAAGTGCAGCCCTTGTGCTGCGGCCAGGAGACTGTGGGGGTGTGTGTGAGGCCCCAGAGGCTGAGCCCCCCTGGGAGCTGAGGCTTGACCAGGCCTCGGAACTGGGGCAAGCATGCTGCCTGGTGTCCAGCGGTCAGTGTCACCACAAGCTGGACGTCACGCTGACCCCTAACGAGGACGAGTGAGTTAAACATGACTCCAAGGGTGACACTCCTCCTCCCCGTTTAAAGTGGGGAGCAGGGCTCAACGAACCGTAGAGGCCAAAGGGTAGAGGTTCTCAGGTTTGTAGGCCTTTGGGTGTCCTCCCAGGAGCCCACTCCATTCTGCCACGGAAGCTCAAAAGCAGCCCCAGACGGCCGGGGGCGCCGGGCCGGGCGGGTCCAGGACAGCCGCTTTAAGGCCTGGAAGCGCTCGGTGGACTCAGCCTCCCTCCCACCCTTCCCTCCCGCAGAGCCGGTCTGCAGCAACAGGAAACCGTCCCAGCAGGTGGCGCCCGGCCACTGCCCGCTGCCCAGCCCTGAGGGGAAGCCTGGGGACAGGGGTACTCAGGAGGGTGGAGAGCGAGATGGGGATCCCCACCAGGGCCCCAAATGAGGACCTGCAAACAGATAGATAGCAGGGTTGGAGGCTTCCCCTGGCCCTGCCCCAAGGCAGCCCTGAGGACACACCCTGTGCTCGCCCGCCAGGCTCCTTCCTTACCTGCGAGCCTGGGCAGCACGTGGGACGGACCAGACTGTGGCTCAGAAGTGCTCTTTCGTGAGGCTTCCGGGGTTGTGTGAACACGGTACGTGTGCACTGGGCCACGAAGCAGAAGCACGTCTCACCCTGGCCGGGCGAGAAAACTGGGCTGATGGGGGCGTGGGTCTGTCCGCGTGATGTCTGCAGCTCTGGGGATGGAAGACCGCGCAGAGCAAGCAGCAGCAGCGCGCACACTCGGGGAGGGCATGGGTGCCTGGGAAGGGATGCCGCGCGGGCGGAGGCAGCTTTCCGGAGGAGGGGGTATTGGACTGGGGTCTCGCAGGGTGAGTAGGAGCTCGGCAAGCGGCTGAGGAGGAACAGAACCGGCGAGAAGGGACAGGTCATGCAGCGAGCAATGGGACCTCCGCACAGACCTGGAGGGGCCTGATGGGGTGCCCCGGGGGACAGGGCTGGACCGGGGCGGGAAAGGGTCAGAGTGTGGAGCAGGCAGTTACTGCAGAAACCAACCAGAAGAAGGCTGCATTTTAGGGAATATTTATTAAAATATACTCCTTTTCTGCCATCTGCTGCCCCTTCACAGTTGCTCCGGGCACCTTTCAAAGCTCTCCGGCTCCTTCCGCTGACCCTGCCCGGCCTCCTCCGCGAGAGCCAGGAGCGCAAAGGCCAGGACGCAGGAGCCCGCAGCAGGGACGGGGGGCGGGCTGGCGGGCCGGAGGCGAGGGCCGCGGGGCTTCGGGCCCGGGAGGCGGCGGGCCCCCATTCTCGGGGACGCGGAGCCGCATCTACGAGGGAGCGACCCGGAACCCGGCAGGCCTGAAACCCTTCACGAGTCCGCGCGCAATCCTCCGGGTCCGGTTGGGGCAACGCCGGGCGCGGCGGCGGGAGTGGGCCGCTCCCCAGCCCGGCCACCGGTCCCCGGGCCGCGGACACGTGAGGACGGCGCGCGCGTGCGCGGAGGGGCTGCCCACGGTCCGCACGCGCAGGCCCACCATCTGCGCCTGCGCAAGACAGACCGAGCAGCCGGCGGCGTACGCGGGACGAGGCGTCGGGCGGCAGTGCTAAGGACGGCGCGCACGCAGGCACGTAAGCACGCACGCCCTGGGGAAGTGTCGAGTTCCGGCTGCTCAGAGTCTCTCCGAGCCGGGGGGAAGGGAGGCGCTCTCGGTGTCGGCTCGGGCGGAGGGGTGGGAGGGAAGTGCTACGGTGGCCGTAGAGGGACGGCGCTACGGCTCCCGCGCTGGGCCAAACGCCGCCGGCCGCCGGGCGCAGAAGCCCCGGGCCCTTCGGGGCGGCCTGGGGCTGGGACGCGTGAGCGGCTGGGCCCCGCAGCCGCCGCGCCGTGGGCACCATGCGGCCGCCCTGCTCCTGGAGCCCCGTGGGCCGGGGGATGCCGCAGGCCCTGCCGCCCGCACCGCCGGCCTTCCCCGGCGCCGGCGCGGAGAGGGCACCTGGTGAGCGGCGGACGGGCCTGCCCGGGGGTGGCTCGCGGGTCCGCGCCGGTGCCCGCCGCCTGCCTGCCGCGGGAGCCCGCGGCGCGGACGCTGGGCGGGGGGACCGTGCGTGGCGACGGCGGGTCCGGGGCGGGAGGGAGGCGGGCAGGGAGCCCCGCGGGGTCCAGCGGACGAGGCCCGCAGGTGCAGGTGCGGGCCGGACCGAGGCAAGCGCGCGGAGCCGCCCGGGGCTCAGACCAGGCTCTGGCCGAGCCTGCGGGGAGCCCTGGACCCGCCCGGCCTCCGCCCCCGCGCACGCCCCTGGCCGGCCCGTGGGACGTGTCTCCCGAGCCCGTAGCCCCCCGGCTGCCCCGCTGTTCACACGTCCGCACGTGCATCTTTCCCCCCACGAGTGATTTAGGCAGTCACGAGACCACTCGGCGTTTGTCCTTTCCTGGTCCCAGGCCTGCGATGTCCTCTGCCTGCCAGGCGTGGTCCCCAGCGTCCCCCCGCCCCCACGGGAGCCCGGCGCCCCGGCCAGCTGGGCAGGGAGGGGAGGAGGGCGAACCGGCTTCAGGTCACTCCTAGGGAGCCTCAGCGCCACGGCTCCGGACCCCCTGTCTGGTCTTCGCGCTTGGCTCCTCAGTCTGCGTCCGGTGCCTCTGAAGCGTCCTCGGTGCTTCCTGTGGCGAGAGCGGCCCCCGGGCACCTGAGCCGAGGGGGCAGGTTCCCCGTGGCCCCGGGGCCGGCTCCGGCGTCCCGGGGCTCACCCCGTTCCTGTCTCTGTCACTTCCCCGCAGGCCGCTGCACCCCCCAGGGCTCAGCTGCCACGCGCGGGCCTAGGTGCCCATGACGCCTATGCCGACCGCTGCGCGGACACCAGTGCTGCCACCAGCTCGCCACAGCGCCCGGGCCCCGATGCCGGTCATGCCCATCCCGCGGCGGGTGCGCTCCTTCCACGGCCCGCACACCACCTGCCTGCACGCGGCCTGCGGGCCGGCACGCACCTCCCGCCTGGCCCGCACCAAGTACAACAACTTCGACGTGTACGTGCGCGCGCGCTGGCTGTACGGCTTCATCCGCTTCCTGCTCTACTTCAGCTGCAGCCTGTTCACCGCCGCGCTCTGGGGCGCGCTGGCCGCGCTCTTCTGCCTGCAGTACCTGGGCGTGCGCGTCCTGCTGCGCTTCCAGCTCAAGCTGTCGGTGCTGCTGCTGCTGCTGGGCCGCCGGCGCGTGGACTTTCGCCTCCTCAACGAGCTGCTCATCTACGGCATCCGCGTGACGGTGCTGCTGGTCGGGGGCCTGGGCTGGTGCTTCATGGTCTTCGTGGACATGTGAGGGCCCTGCCTGGGCCTCCGTCGCGGGGTGTCTTCCCCGAGGCCCGTGCTTCGCCTGACCGGCTGGGTCGGGACTCCTCCCGCCTCGCGGGTCTGGGCGGGGGGGGGGGGGGGGGGGGGGGGGGGGGGGGCGGGGGGGGGGGGGGCTGAGACTGCTCCGGGAAGGGGACGCGGGCGCCCCCCTGCTGCTCGTTTTCTGCACTGACCCTCCTTGTATGTCCCTGGGGGGTCAGCGCCTCCTGGCCGCCAGCCCACGCTTCCAGCCCTCGCTTTTCCAGGCCGTGCCAGGGTGAGGCCCGCTGGCCCAGTCTGCCCTTGGAGAGCCTCTGTGTCCCTGCTTCCTCTCTGGGACACGGGCATCACAGGCTGCGAGCGAGGGCCTCCTGGCCAGCTGCACGGCCCCTCCCCGTGAGCCCCCAGCCCCAGCCTTAGGGAAGTGTCAGGCTCAAGTAGCTGGTGTCCGCACTGCCACAAAGCTGCTTGCTCTGCCCTGGGCCGCCCACGTCCCGGCACAGCGCTCAGGCCCTCCGTCTGTCCCCCTGAGCGGCAGCGGAGTCCTGAGTTCCAGGCCGGGCTTTCGGGCCACGTTGGTTTGCTTAGACGCGGTTGAGTGGGAGTCACAGGCAGCCTTGGCCAGTTCCCAGATTGGGGACCAGCCCTGGTCCTGGGCGATCTGCCTTCCTCTTGGGCAGGTTTGTTGAAAACGTCAGGCGGAATCCCATAGTCTCTCCAAGCGTGGAATTCTGGGAGGCCCCTGAACTCCTTCCGGCTGGGGGTGGGGAGGGGAGCCGAGATTTGGCCTCTCTCCCTTTGAGGGACGGCTGGCATTGAAACGTGCGTGCTGGGAGCTGACGTCAGAGGTCTGGAGAAGCACCACAGCCTCTGCGCGCCCGTCCCCGGGACGTGAGCAGAGTTTCCGCTGAAAGAGCCCCTCTTGGGCGTGCGTGGGCGCAGGCTGGGCTGCCCCTGTGTTCTTGCCCCCGCTTTGGAGCCGCTGCTGAGGGACAAGCAGAACTGAATGTGGGGCCGGAAGGAGCGGAGGGCCTGTTGGTCCATCCGGGGGCCCATGTCTTGTGCAGACCCCTCGCTTCTCTGTCAGAGGAGGAGAGGGTGGCCTGGTGGCCCCATAGTCACAGCAGGTCTCCTTGGCAGGTGAGAAGCCGCTCGGAATAATTGTGATGGGACGACAGGCAGAGACCAGGGACAGCTGACAGCCCCATCCTGGGGGTGACAAACTCCTCATCCCGAGTTGTCCCTCCCCACCCCCCGAGCATGGGCAGTGGCCCCTTTGACCTTGTGTGCCCAGGCAGTCCAGGGGCCAGAGGAGCTGTCAGACAGTTGGGTGCCCCAGGAGGAAGACTCCAAATCAGGGAGAGAAGGTGAAGAAAGCTCAGCTGTAAACCACGCTCTTTGATTTGTAGCCGGCTTCTGTCCAGCAACTGTCAACTTGGGGACAGTGGGAGGGCTCCCGGGACAAAGTCCTTGCTTGGGTGGAGTCTGCGGGCTCCCTGGATGCCCCGCGGGGAGCTGACCTGCGTGTACCCCACTTCTCAGCACCGCAGAGAATCTTTTGCACTAAATCATGCTGTTTCCTAAAAGTTTTGTTCTGTGTTAACTCAGACCCCCCAGAGCTCCTGCCACAGAGGTGGACGTGTGTCCTCACCGTCAGGATGGCAGGAGGGGTGTGGCTGGGTTGCCTCGATTGTGGTTGTGGCCACATGAGGAGCTGGCACGGTGAACACAGACGTGCTCGGTGACGCGAGCGCCTGTTAAATTCTTTATGAGATGAGCCACCTGCATTAAACTTATTTTTTTAACACGTTGATGGAGTGATTGCTTAAAGCTCAAAATCTCTGTTCTTTCTGTAAGGGTCTGACCGACCAAAGATGCCACGGAAGGAGTCTGTCCCAGGCAAAATCGAGGACGCTTTAAAGCAGGCGTCTGCAGCGCCGAGGCAGGGACGCCCGTGTGGGGTTTCAAGGGGCCCACCTTGACCTTGCAGCCGGGAGTCTGTCGGGACAGCAGGGACAATGTGGCCGCGCCGGCAGCGGGTCCCAGCAAGGTCCCCGGGGCCCACTTGTACCCGCCAGTGAGGGTGTAGGGTCCTCATGGGGCCCGGGAGTAGGTCCTTGAACCGAGTGCACAGTGTGAGCTCCCTCCCAAGGAAGATCCTTGTGCGCGGGGAGGACGCCGGCTGGAAACCAAAGCAGCGGTTCTTGTTTAACCGAAAGCCTTGGAAAAACGAGAGACGCATGGTTACTTAGTATCTTTATTTTGTAAACGTCTGCGAGCTTCCATGCGGGGACACCCCTGTTCCTCGCGCATGACAGGGACGCCCTGCCACGCTGCTGCACTGGCTAGAAAGTGCCACGGAAAGGCCACCGACCTGCTGCTTCCGGGATTTTGTGGAACTGGGTGTTTTCCCAGCAGAAAACAGTCCCAAGTTGTTTCGGGGTTTGGCTTGTGGTGGCAGAGCTGGTAAGCGGCTGCGGTGGCTGCGGGCGCCGGGCGCCGCCAGGGCAGCAGCCCCAGCAGGCCAACTTAGGATGGTATTTGGTGAGCGCGAGGCCTCCTCCACCGGGTGGGCCTCCAGCCAACTCCCCGATCCCATCTTCAAGGACAGGAGCCCTGGGCCAAGCAGTGGGAGAGCAGGGCTGGGATCCAAGGCTGCACTCAGGACGCTGCCACCCAGAGAGGGGTCTCAGCCTCAGGGCATCATGGGGTAGGGTGGGGGGGTGACCTGTGAGGGCAGCGGCTTCCGGTTGGGGGCATTCTGCTGAGATGTCATTTAGGGCAGAGTGTGTGCTCATTGTGAGCTCCGTGTCTTGGGAAAAAGGACTGACCTGCAGGCCTGAGCACAGGTCCCAGGGCTGGGCTGGCAGATGCCAGGAGCTGGAGCGGGCTTAGGAGCCAGGAGTCATCCTTGCAGAGCTGCCAGGCCTCCGTGGCTCCTGCCGCCTCCTCCCTCCCCGATGGCCCAGGCTGCCTTCAAGGTGGGTGGGGGAGGGAGTGACCCGGGATAGCCACTCTGTCAGACCCAGTGAGCTGGGAGGGCAGGGAGGGCCCCTGCTGCTCATGCAGGACCCCCTGTCGGTGAAGATGGGCCCAAGGTGGGGCGGGAGGGAAGAGAAGAGGGAGGAGAGTACCTGGAAGGTTCTGCAGGTGCCAGGCTGTCCCTGGTGACAGCACCTGGACGCAGGTGGTAGCAAGTTTGTCCTTGATTGGGGAGGTGGGGGTGAGGAGCCGAGGCTCCGCTAGAGCCTGCGTGGGGGAGGGGGGGGCTCCTGGAGGTCTCCTAGCCTGGCAGGGGGATGGTCCAGTCAGGGTCAGGCTGGGTCTGGAGGTCAGGGTTAGGACAGAAGTGTTGGGGGGGTGCGGGGGGGCAGGGAGGGAGTGGGAGAGGAGGGAGGAGAGAAGCAGTTCCCTTGAACAAAGAGGGGAGGCACAGGCGTCCCTGAGGCCGGAGCCAGGTGCCGGGGAGGCAGGAGGAAAAGCCTCAGTGGCCACGCCCTCACCCTCCGCGGTTTCCAGCCACCCCTCTGCTTCGGGCCTCCCAGGGTCTGAGTCCTCTGCAGCCAGTAGGAGGGTGTGAAGGGCTGTCAGGAAGAGGGGAATCAGCCAGCATAGGGGCAACGGCGAGGAAGGGTGGTGCTTTGGGAACTTCCAGAAACCAGAGGTTATGTGAGAGAGTCTGGGTGCCGTCCAGACCCAGGGCAGTACGGACATCTCAGGAGATGCTCTCTCTGGTCCTGCGGGCACTCCTGGCAGCCCCCAGGAGGTCACACCTGGAGGGGCAGTGGGACTCCTGTGTCTTTCCCGGTCTCCCCTCCCCCCGCAGTATGGTGGGGGCTGTGGGGGAGGGACACAGCCCCACCCCGGACGATGGCTGGGCAAGCGCCGCCTGCTCTGGATCAGAGTGTGAGCCCAGTACTGCTGCGGAGGACAGGGCGGTCGGCTGGGGCTGGCTGCACAGACATTGATGGTCCCTGACCTTGAGAGGTCCCTGTCACTGGCGGCCTGTGATTGGAGGAGGGAGCTGGCAGACGGCAGGCGGTCGGTGCTGAATCAGCCCTTTCTGGGCCTGAGCGAGCTTCCTTCCCTCCGCAGAGCCCAGTGCTTCTCCTTTCCCCCTCCCTGCTGCTGCTGGGAAAGGGCCTCTCTGGGCCAGCCCCTCTAGGACAGCCAGCCGCCCCATCCCCTCGAGGCCCGCCTGCCACTCTGCACCAAGCTGCACCCAGGAGCCACTTTGCAGAAATCCCAGCAGTCTGGCGTGCCTCCCTGACAGCTCCCAGAAGCGGGAGCGCCCCGCCTCACCAGCATCCTTGCCCAGAGGGGACAGGGAGGACGGGAGGGAGCTGCTGATTCAGCGGCTTGTGGGCTGCGCCCCTCCCCCCGCCCCAGCGGGCAGTGTGCCCAGGCCTGCTGGCAGCTGTGTCACACGGGGCCTCTGGCAGAGTGGCTGTGGCTCTCGCTGTGTGGCCGCCTCTGCGCCTGGTGCTGGGGGAGGACCCGCAGGAGGGCGCGTGGTGAGACGGCCGGGCGTAACCACGGCCTGATCCAAGAGAGGCCAGAACGCCACTCCTGGCCGCCAGGCTTGGGAGTCCAGGTTGAGGCAGACCCCCTCTGCCTTTGGCCGGTTCAGCCATGTCCCCTGCCACCTTGACCTGGGGCTGGACGCTGACCCTCAGCCCTGGGCTGGGGATGGGCCGCACTGGTGGGAGGACGACGAGGCTAGGTCGCTGGGTGGGGCGGGCCGTGTGGTTGAGCAGGGCACGGCCTGGGGTCCCCCGCCCGAAAGTGGGCCTGGGGCCCCCTGCCTGAAAGTGGGCATCCCTCTAGAGGGGACAGCCATGCCCCAGGTCAGTCCGTCAGTGGGAGGACGTCTCCTGAGGAGAGCCCTGCAGGCCTGTGTGTGAGCTGGAGAAGCGCGCGGCCACTCGTCCTGCGAGGAGGGGCCAGGGCTCCATTCTGCTTTCCCAGCACATCAGTGCCTCGTCCAGGCTGCGGCGTGAATATTCATGCAGGAATCAGTCAGTCCAGGCTGAGCGGCGGGGGTTGGGGGAGTGGTCAGGTGGTTTCCCAGGAGGCATGTCCCCTGCCCCAGGGGTCGGCACCAGGTCCCCTGGAGCCCCG